TTAGCCATACATCAGATATTATACAAAGAACTATTTTTTCATTATTAAGAGGGTATAATCTTCAACCTGAAAGTAATTTACTTTTGTAACAGATTCTGGTGCAAACTTTGTGGCAGCTTTTCGAAATTATAGGCATTTATCATGTATAGCTCACAGGTATGTATTACTTCATTTATTTAAATTATAAATAAAATCGTGTTACAACATCATTTAATAAAAAACGGGTTGAGTTCGAGTTTGGATTGAAATTTTTTGTATACAAGTCGGGTTCGGGTTGAGATTTTTATAATTTTTTGTATACAAGTCGGGTTCGGGTTGAGATTTTTATAATTTTTTTGTGTCCCAGTCGGGTTCGGGTTGGGTATTTATTCAATTATGATGACCCGTGCAGGCCTCTATTGTAAATCATATGATGTGAGACACCCCAATGATACTTGTATAGAAACAGTGAATGTTATAATATCAACATTTAATGTAATCTCACCTTATGTTTGAAACATTATATTTTGTTTTCTATTCTAAATTTAATTGTGTTTTGTCTGTACACTATGCCCATATTAAAGAGACATCTACACAGTAAGCTTTGACCTTTTATTTGCATTAAAAATTTTTGTGTATGAAAGGTCATTTATTTACAAAGCATGAATTGGAGAATAGGAAAGCAGATGAAGCAAGCATGCAAAATCTATTGAAATAAAGTTTGTTAAAAAACTTGAAAACAAGAATTGTATATATAAAATATTGATAGGTATAAAATTGCCAGTCAAAAACCATTGCATGCAATTACAAGATTTGTATCTCTTTTTTATGTGATTATTACCAATTATCAAATGTCGTAGGAAGGCCAATTTTTTTTGCAGACATTGCAACTCCCTGAGCATGATTTCCTTTAATGATAACAATTTTACCATCTTTTTATTTTATTAAATATATATATATTGATATAAAGCTTGACTGGATCATGATAGGATCATTTATAATTAATCAAATTATCTCCAAAGATAAACTAAAGAAACGCATAATAATGAGAAACTTGCAAGAGAAGCTCATGTTATGGATCACCTTTGCTGCATATAATATATTTCAAAACCCATTTGTTGCAAAAAAAGGCATTCTTATTGTAAAAAGATTTAATGGGATTAACAAACAGGGTATCCTTTTTTCTTCTTGAACTATTCACTAAAGTCAAAAACAATATAGGAAAAAAGATGCTAACAAAATTCTAAAAATAAAAACAAAACAAATATGTCATCTTGTAACCCTTGGCATGTTGTTGATCAATGCCATCTCTCAATTGATTGATGAATAGAGCGTCATCTTCAAAACACTTCTAATAATGCTGTAATTCTTGGGTTCCATAGTAGATCTGATGTAAAATTGGGTTCATATAACTATTTTTATATAAGGATGGTTCTATATATCACTTAACAAATGGGTCATTATAAAACTAATTAACTAATTTTGATCCCTGAAATTTTTGGTAATACCAATGTTCACTTTGTCTGGTTTTGTTACAGTATGCCCATATAGGTTTTCCTCGGGTTAATAACTCTTGCTCATAATGAAACAGTTAATAAGTGGTTAATAACTAATTAATAACTTGGAATTATTAAGGGTATGGTTAAAAATTCCCATCACTAGTGAATACCTATTATTCAGGAATATTAGTGAAGAAAAAGATCATATAAGTAGTCTTGTGTCTGTAAAGAAACAAATGAGAGAAGATTTGATTATTTTATTAAAACAGATGGTATGTCTGCACTTAGAAGAAAATGCAAACAAAGCTGAAAATCCAAGCATGATACCTTCAGAAGCAACTCAAGTAGCTGTTGTTTCATCATTAGGAAATCATTGACAAAACACCAGTAACAGCAGTAGATGGATATTTATCATGCTGTGAATAAAGAAAATGAATCATTTTGATGCTTAAATAAGAGAATAGGGAACAGAATCAGGACAGGCGTTTATAATTATTAATTACAATGAATGTAATAAAATTTACATTAATTAACCATTATTGTAGATAAGATGAAAAAGGAAGGCCGAAAATGGTCATGCTATTAGCACATGGATCAAGAATATTCCAATGTCCAAAGTTAGCAAAGTTCAGGCATTCTGGCAGCACATCGTGTGAGCATGCCCTAATTCACTTTATTGCATAGTGTAGAATCATGATCTTAATGTTGCATTGAACATCCTTCAAATATTTTTGGCAATAGCATACATGATATGGAAGGAGTTTCCTCAGTGTAAGGAACGGACAAGTGCAGATGGTTAACCATCACTGCAGCATACTTGTTAAATAAAATCTATCCTTTCCTTATTTATTAATAATTAAAAAAAAACCAATTAACAATTTTACAAAATCTAAATCATGACATAACTGTAACAAGTCTATCAGGATAACAAGCATGATAAAATCTATGACCAGCGTACATGTGTGACATTGTTCTTTTATAGAAAAAAATTTACGTCTAAAGAAGGAGTACCATCAATTCTTAACTTCCTTTACAAAAAAAATAATTGGTTCATATAACTTTTGAGAAGCTTCAGGGTCAGCACTGTCATTATTATCATTGATATCACCTTCATCTACACCATTTGCTTCAACATCAGAGTCCATGAACAATCACGTGCCAAAAAAATTCATAAATTATTTCAAATTATCCTTTTTCCTTAGAAATTAACGAGGAAGAGATATTCTTTTGTTAAAGAAATTGGTTAAGTATCATCAGCTTCGGGATCCTCCCAAATAGTGAATGGAATTTTCATTGATGCTTGTTGTTCAATAGTAAAAATATTGTCAACGTTGATTGAGGAAGAGGAAGATGTTGTTGATGATGGAAATGGCCAATCTGAAGTTAGCATAGTAGAATCTGTTCCTATATCATGCAATGAATCTGGTGTCAATGTATAATTATCATCACTTGAATCGTCAGATTCATTGTTATCATTACAATTAATCCTATCCTCTACATTAAATACTTCTCTTACAATAACAAACTCTTTTCTTCCTTCTGGATTCCACCAAGATTTATTATTATTGCTTGTGTTATTATTGCTACTATTACTACTCGTGATATTATTATTATTATTATTATTATTATTAATAATAATAAATAAAAATGTCCATACAATCTTGTAAATCATTTCCTAAACAAAAATATTAAATAAATTTTTTTAATAAAATAAAAGGAAAAAGAAATATGACATCGTTTTATGATCTTGAATGTCTTGATAATAAGAACCAACCTTTTAAATTCTCGGAATTAAGAGGAAAATTTGTATTAATTGTTAATACTGCATCAAAATGTGGTTTCACCCCTCAATATCAAGGTCTTGAAAAACTTTATCAACAATTTAAAGATCAAGGTTTCGTTGTATTGGGGTTTCCTTGCAATCAATTTGGTAGCCAAGAACCTGGAACCAATGAAGGTAATGTATATATACATATATTGTATTTGTATTTTTATTATTTTTATTTTTATTATAAAGAAGTCATCTTTTAAAAAATATAATTATTTTTTAGAAATTATTGAATTTTGCTCAATGAATTATAATGTTAGCTTCCCAATAATGTCAAAAGTTGATGTAAATGGTGATAACGCACATCCTGTATACAAATATTTAAAGTCACAAAAATCTGGTATTGCAGGAATAAAAGCAGTCAAATGGAATTTTGAAAAATTTTTAATTGATAAAAATGGAAATGTTGTTTCAAGATATTCTTCCATCACAAAGGTTTGAAAGTTTTTGCCTTTTTTTTTATTTTACTTGATAATTTATTTTAAATCTAATTATATTATGTAATAATTAGCCTGAAGATTTGCAAAAAGAAATCAAGAATATTCCAATGTCCAAAGTTAGCAAAGTTCAGGCATTCTGGCAGCACATCGTGTGAGCATGCCCTAATTCACTTTATTGCATAGTGTAGAATCATGATCTTAATGTTGCATTGAACATCCTTCAAATATTTTTGGCAATAGCATACATGATATGGAAGGAGTTTCCTCAGTGTAAGGAACGGACAAGTGCAGATGGTTAACCATCACTGCAGCATACTTGTTAAATAAAATCTATCCTTTCCTTATTTATTAATAATTAAAAAAAAACCAATTAACAATTTTACAAAATCTAAATCATGACATAACTGTAACAAGTCTATCAGGATAACAAGCATGATAAAATCTATGACCAGCGTACATGTGTGACATTGTTCTTTTATAGAAAAAAATTTACGTCTAAAGAAGGAGTACCATCAATTCTTAACTTCCTTTACAAAAAAAATAATTGGTTCATATAACTTTTGAGAAGCTTCAGGGTCAGCACTGTCATTATTATCATTGATATCACCTTCATCTACACCATTTGCTTCAACATCAGAGTCCAATTTAACGTTTGATAAAAGATCATCATCAATTGATGTTGAATCATTGAGTTTGAAGAATCTAAATCTTCTTTGTTAACACTTGAAAAAGAAAAAAGAAGATGAAGAAAAACAGCCTGCAGAAGTCAATACATCACTGCATCACTAGGAACAAATTCATAAATATAGCTTTTTAGAGTAATTTATATTAGTCTGTCTGTGAGTGTTTTCATGTCAAAAAGAATACAAGTAACAATAATGATGACAGTAAAAATTATCGACTTCATATTAAAAATTGTTTTTAATTGTCTTTTATAAAAAAATTTTTTTTTTTGAGGAATAAAAAATTGTCACATATTTATATTAGATAAATAAATGTTGAAATAATTTATTAATCAAATTTTTTTGGCTTTAGAACAAAAATAAAAAGAAACTTTTATTTTAA